ACCATCGAATAACGATTATGGCGATCTTTATACATTTCCATATATTTTATGATAGCATTATTCTCCTAAAAAAAAAAAATTTAAAAATATATATATATATATATTCAGTATATAATGTAAAAAAAAAAAAAAAAAAAAAAAAAAAAAAAAAAAGTGTTTCAACATACTTCTTTGCTTAATTTCGTTTTTCTTGCCATTTTAATATCGAGTATAATTTGTAAAAAAAATCTTGTGAAAATATTTTCTTTACTAGGAAGATAAATTCCCGAAATCCAAGAGAGATCAAGAGAATCATGCCTTTATAAAACAATTTTTAAATCAAAAGTCATCTATTTTGAAATGACACTTGTTTGTTTTTGTTGTGGGAAAGTACACCATTTTTTTTTTTTTTTTTTTTTTTAATAAAAATGAGTTAGACCCAAACATTTGATTGGGGTTAATTTATCATGCAACCCGATTAAGTTAAAGAAATTCATCAATTAGACTTCCCAAATAGATAAATTCTATTGTAAATGGAATGGAAATCATTGTACCATTATTTATATTTCTTAAATTAAAGCCGATCTCTTTAAAAAGGGTAAATTTGTAAACACGCGAGCATTTTGTGATATAAATGATCCAAATGATACAAATGATCAACGTTTATTAAAAAAAAAATCAAGTACAATAAACATATTATTAATCCCTTGAAAAAAATGGGGAATAAAAATTTAGTTTGTAAACAAAGGTAAATATCAACATTTCAAATTAAGAAGATTCATGTAAAAAAATGTAAAAAAAAAGCACCGCTAGTAGGTATAATAAAATCAGGACATTCCAGCTATTCTTCGAATCGAAACTCGACCGACCCTTCCGGAGCACTAATTACAGCACTCTTGGTGAGAACCACTTTAGTTTCTTGATGATATGATCGATTAGCATTTATAAGTGTTTTGGCAAAGATTTTTATGTAGAGATTTTAGTAATTAAAATTTTTAATGCGTAAAGTTTTTTTTTTTGTGAATAAATTAAATATGCCTGAATTTTCTTTTCTCTTACGTTCGTTGGTATTTATATATTTATAAAGTAAACGCACCATTCTTACTCGGACATACCTAATCTTTCAATGTCTAAAGCATTAATTCTAAAATCTACTTTGAAAGATTTTAGGTTGTGAATATGTGATGGTGAAAGTAATAAGTGATACCATGTAATTTTATTTACTAAGCCAAGATTGGTGTATTGTGAATAATCTTCTTTCAGAATGTTTGTTTCTTAAGGGGTTGATGTGGATCTTTTACTTTTTTATGATATAATAATTATGATAATTGAATCATTTTATTGTTTCACAAGTGGATGGTGGTACAAGAATATCGATTAGGTGATCAATATGGGTATGTGCTATTGATTTTCCCGTAAATAACATCGTCATACAAATAAATATTCGGGCTATAATGCTTTTTTTTCCTGCAACACAGAAAGTAAACAAAAAAATTTGCCTTGCCGTAATGGATGATCAAACATTAATTTAAAATCCTGTATTGTGTATTGTAAATAAGCTTTCATCTTCCATTGACAAAGATCTAAAAAAAAATTTTTTTTTTTTCACACGCACAATCTCTGAATTATAATTTGTGTACAGTGATCAAAAAAAACAACGTGAGATTTCATGTTTTGAAAATATTACAAATGTTACAATATCCTCAAGATTATATTGCCATTATAGGCTAATTAAATTATTTTATTACGGCAAAGGAGGATATTCAACATGCATCCATCAAAAATCAAAAGATCACGATGTAGTACTTTTTATTTATATGTAGCATGCTGATTTCGAAGAAAATTATTGATAGGGCTATAATAAGGGTGATGTTGATGATCATCACGTGAGCTATTAAAATTCAACAATGTTCTCGTAACCTGATTTTTAATAGCAAATGACCCATATGTTCATTTGCGGAAGCAAAGATATTTTTTGTTTTAGGAGATGCTGACATCCTTTCTATAGGGAGATTTATGTGGATCGTTTGTGATATTTAAGACTTCCCTTTCTCTATTGCATTTATGAACTTCACCAAGTTAGGTTGGCATATAACATTTCTTAACGGGAAATTTGTCATCTTTCTGTGCTTCAACGATTTTCTGCCCTAATTAAATATTCAAACCTATCATCACTTAGAAATAACAAATAACTTCTATATGTAATTCAATATGTATAATATTAAGTATTTAGTATAACCCGTTCTAACGATCGATATATCTATGCTATAAATTTCTTTTGATTGATAATCTAGATCTAAAAAGTTAACTTGTATGATTTGCAATTCGTAATTTACTGAAATTGTTGATTCTGTATATTAAATTTTATCTTTGGCTTGAATTATTCATTCTATTCTATGAAATTTCTTTTCGAGGTTGTTCACTTTTTAACTTTGCCAAGCAACATTTGATTTCAAGAGTGCAAATAAATGCAATGTTTGCAATTCGTTGTAAAAAAAAAGTTCTCGATACGATAACTACAAAAATTGCACGTACAAACTTATAAGTCTTTTATCAACTTCCACTTCTACATGAAATACTTGTTCTAAAAAAAAAGAATAAAGAAATTTGCTCAAGTGCATTGAAGTCCATTAATCAACCAATAAATAAATGAATAAATGAAAAAGTTTCAATAATATTCTGAATTTACCTACGGACCTTCTGATGAATTCCATTTATAAAAATCAAATTGCAAAATATATATTATTTTTATAAAACAGTCAAAAAAGAAAATATCATATATCATAAATATTTTTTAGGATTTTTCTCATTATCCTACTTAACTTATTTTACGGAAGTTATGCGCATTCATTACGTAAGGCATTGAAGTTGTATTATCTGATGTTTATTATTAATTGTTCACCAGGGCAGGGCTGTATGCTAATTAAGTACACGAGGTTCATATTATGGACTTACGTCAAGGTATAAGTTTATCGGTAAATTGCAACGTATTAAGCATAAAACAGCAAATCCTGAAGACATTACATACGCTTCCTTTCAATTATGGAATAATTTTGAAAAGTTCTTTGTAGAATAATTTGATTTACCAACCAGGAAGATATAAAAATATATTTCTTCCTTACCAGAGCTTATTAATAATGTATTTGATCTTATCTATTAAATAAATTTTTATAAAGAAACTTTTTGTAACAATCACTCAAATGTTAATTCTAAAAGAAAATTTTTTTATTAAATGAAATTATTAAGGTAAGATTAATTCTACCTATTATATTATTTATATTATTGAATTTATACTTCTTATTTACACGTTTTCGATCAATAATATATTTCTTTAATTTTTTCAACGACCCATTTTGATGAACTTTATCATTGTCCTGATCGCGGGCCTCTATTTCATCCTGGGGCTTTGCCTGAAAAGCATTTGATTCATTTTGAAAATTAAATTCATCTTCCACTTTTAAAGGGAAATAAGAATTAAATAAAAAAGGTAACCGTTAACATATAATTTTTATCTCAAAAATCAAATCATAATAAATAATAACAATAATAATTACGTTGAAATGTATTAGAAATATGAAGTTCAATTAATCGTGAATCTAAACCTAAATAAAATAAACATACTACATATAAGTTTTGAATACTCAATTAATATGTAAATATATCTATTTAATATTTACCTTCAGCATTTTCAATTTGTACTCCCAAAAAATTTTTTGAATTATCCACAAGTATCGAACGACTTGTAAAATATGCTTGAGGATGTAACGTTTTTACAGATAAATTTCGAGGTCTAAATTTATCTGCATTAATAAATTCTTGAGAAGAATCTTTTTGCCATTTATTTATTATATTAATTAAACTTGTCGCAGAAGGTCTATTATTCGGATCAGCATCGAGACATTGATTAACTATATCAACATAATGTTTTGGTGTTCCTTTGGCAACTTTTGGACGTAAACCATTGCTAATCTCTATTGCAAGGTCAATATTATGTGGTACACTTTCAAAAGGAGGTCTACCTGTTGATATTTCTGTCATAATAATACCGAAACTATATATATCACTTGCAGGAGTATAAGGCTTTTTATTTAATATTTCAGGAGCTATATAGGGAAGTACTCCACTTATATTTTTTGAATTTGTCTTGTTGAATGCAGATCGTGCAAGTCCCAAATCTGTGATTTTCGATTCTTCATTAAAAATAAGCACATTCCCACTATGTAAATCTCCATGAACATAATTTAATTCATGAATTTTCTCTAAATTTTTTGCAATGCCTAGTAAAAATTTTAACTTCTTTTCCCACTTTAAATCCGAATAATGATTTTTAACATAGTCTTTTAGGCTGCCATTTTTCGCAAATTCCAAGACTAACATAAATTCTTCCGTTAATGGATCTTTTGATATTCCATAAAATTGTGTTAATGCATCGTGCCTTTGAAATTTGTGATGTATTTTTATCTAAACAAACAAATTCTATTAACAGACTGAAATAAGTAAAATTATTGGAATGTTTTATTATATGTTTATTTACCTCATTAATAAGAATATCTGAAATATTATTTGAGTCTTTAATCTTTTTAAGTACAACCGTAATAGGGCCAGTACGGCTTTTCTTTTCGTTTAGAACTTTTGGTGATCCGTCCAACCAAGTAGCAGAATAAATCCATGCAAAACCACCTTCATCAATTGGTTTAACATCCTTGAATTTATCAAAAGAAATCCACTCCAAATTATGATGGTAATGTTTTGCCATATGCTGTAATTCGTTTATCAACTTGTCCATTATTGGATTTCCGGTAGTATTTTTTTCTCTTAGAAATCGACCTGGATCACATTCACCGCACCAAGCTTCTCCGATATTTGATTTTTTACAATCAGGACATATTCCATATTGAAAATTTTGTTCCTTTATTATTATAGAAGGTTTAGGATTACTAACAAATGGTTGTATGCATTTAAATTTATTAGGCTCTGGTATAAAAAAAATCCAGAAAAAAATGTGAGTATTAAATTGCAATACTCAGGTTTCTAGAAATCTAATGTATTACAATTGTAACTCCATTAAACATAACAAAAAAAATTGAATATACTTACGTTCATTAGTTCCGTTATTGGAAGAAGAAAAATCTTTCATTATAAGATTAAAAAAAAAAATGAAAATTTCTTATAATTTTTTATATATTTTTTTCTCTCATATATTAATTGATCGACAATTATTTATTTGGTCGTTTTTTAAACAAATCTGTTTATCGTGCGACATAAACTACATATATGAGATTAGTGTAACTTATTTTGATAAATTTTTTTTTTTTTAAAGCGTCATCTTGATCATCTTGGTCATAAATATTTCTGCAATAATATTAATGAAAAATGTTTATTTTGTTTACGATAAAATCCTGTTTTGTATAATTTACATTGATATGATCTCTTTGCTATATTACCTTATCTGACAAATTTTGGGGCTCCCTAATTTCAATGGCGTGTAACAAATAAACATTTATTTAAAATATAATATGGATGGGCAAAATATTTACTTAGCATGTGATACACAATGAGCGTTTAGGATTAGGCGAATCGAAGCCAAGATTAAAAGTTAAAAGTTTGCTCTCGTATGAATTTTTTTTGATAAGTACAGCGTTATCAATACTAGTTTACAAATTCTCACATGAACTCCTGCTTTTAAATTAAATACTAAATTAAAAACATTATACGTTGTATATGCCTTTGAATATTATTGTTATATGAAACGAAAAGGATTATTTAAACCTTTTAATCAATTTTAACAGGAATAAAGGGTCTTTTTATACTATAATATTGTCTATCAATTCAAATTCTAAATTAATAATCAATAAAATAATCGTCATTACGCCACAAAAATCTACCTAGTTCATTTATAAATTTTCTTTTCTGAAATATTTTATTCATGTATTGCAAAACGAATCATTTTCCATCGATGCATCTTCATTATTAAATTTAGAACCATTTAGATCTATTAGAAACGGTTGAATCTGACATCCATCTTTGAATTAAAATTATTTTATTATTTACACAAGATAAAAAAAATTTAATATATAAAGTCTGACGATTTACCCAAAAATTTTTTAATTATATTATTTATTATCAATATTAATCATTCAAACTTAACCAATTAGATATCCACCCGCTTTTTGGAGTTCGCTGCTTTTCAGGTGCTGCACAAGCGCTAAAAGATTCGAACTTCACCTAATTTACTCTATCAATAGCTAACTTTAATACTGTAGTCCAGAACACTAAGGTTCATCAATTTTGAATCTGTTAATCTAAATAAATATAAATGTTAAATTCATTAATATACGATAAATATATTTATTTACCTTCAACTTGAAGTCCCGTAAAACTTGTAACATTACTTCGCTTTGAACGATGAATTACCTCTTCCACTTTAAATTATAATGATGATTTTTAGCATAGTATTTTAGGCTACGATCGATTTTTCGCATATTCAAACACTAACATAAATTCTTTCGTTATGGGATCTTTTGTTATTCCATAAAATTGTGTTAAAAAAAAAGTAAGATTTTTTTTTATGAGAAATAACGACAAATTAAACATTTTTGCATTTTAACTTTTCCTAATTGAGCATTTCATTCAAGAAGTAGACATCCGAAACATAAGCAAAAAATTATGTTTGTGTTCAAAAAAAAATTACGTTTATTTATTAGTGATATGTTTAATATACAATAAACGATCCCCTGGTACCTGATAAGTCTAGTCTATTGTATTATTGATGTTTTAATCTCGAAATTGCATATAGCATGCGATCATTTTATTTGTTTACGGCAAATCCTATTTTGGACTGATTTGATCACTTTGTTATATTACCAAATTTGAGATGTTTTTCATTTGCTACAAAATAATCTTAAATCTTGGGTGAAAATCAACACAATCACAAATTAAAATTATTACTTGAATCTCAAAATCCAAATATGGGATAGGCAAAATATTTATTTGGGCATGTGATGCACACTTATTTACAATAGCTAATGTGTTCATTCTCAAAAAGATTTTTCCTTTTCCGAAAGATGATAAATTTGGTCTATAAGTTCAGCGCCGCCTTTAATATTCTTGACTTAGAATGTGATAAATGTTAACTATGAATCGAAAAAGATTTTTGAAACCTTTTAACAATTTTACCAGGAATAAAATGTTGTTTTATACTTCCAATATACTAGGTATAACACTATCTATCATAATCAAATATACCCCAATTCGTTTATAAATTTTCTTTCTGAAACCTTTTATTCGTGCATTGCAAAACGAATCATTCACCATCGATGCATCTTCATTAGCTATTAAATTTAAAATCATTTAGATCATTAGAGACGCGTATCTTTGATATTTTTGAATTAACATTATTTTATTATTTTACACAAGATAACAAAATTTAATATATAAAGACTGACGATTTACCGAAGCTTATTTTATTTATACATTATATACACATCACATAATGTAATGTCATTCCAACTTATCCAATTAGACGTTCACCCACTTTTGGAGTTCGCTGCTTTCAAGGTGCTGCGCAAGCGCTAAAAGGTTCGAACTTCACCTAATTTACTCTATCAATAGCTAACTTTAATACTTTAGTCCGGAACACTATGAACACTAAGATTCATCAATTTTGAATCTGTTAAATCTAAATAAATAAACTTAAATAAATGATAAAATTCAATTAATACAAGACAAATTTATTTTAATTTACCTTCAACTTGAAATCCCGTAAAATTTGTAATATCTCTTTGCTTTGAACGATGAGAAACGTTAAAAGAATTACAGACAAACCATTGAAAACATTCTGGAGTGTGTGAGGTTGTTGCATCAGCCTCATTAAATTCCTGAAAGGAAATATTTTGCCAACTATTTATTATATTACATAATTCTTTTGCGGAAGGTCTTTTTGCTGGATTAGCATCGAGACATTGGTTAACTTTATCAACATAACATTTTGGTGTTCCTTTAGCAACTATTGGACGTAGCCCATTACAAATTGCTAATGCAAGTGTTGCTAATGCAAGTGAAATATGACATTCGTTTTCATAAGAAATCGTTCGGGTTGTTATTTCTGTCATAATAATACCGAAACTATATATATCGCTTGCAGTAGTGTAAGGTTTTTTATTTAATATTTCAGGGGCCATATATTGAAGTACTCCACTTGCATTTAAATTTGACTTATCGGATGTAGATCTTGCAAGTCCCAAATCTGTGATTTTCGATTCTTCATTAAAAATAAGCACATTCCCACTATGTAAATCTCCATGAACATAATTTAATTCGTGAATTTTCTCTAAATTTTTTGCAATGCCATGTAAAATTTCTAATTTCTTCTTCCACTTTAACTTATAATGATTATTTTTAATATAGTCTTTTAGATTACCATTTTTTGCATATTCTAACACTAACATAAATTCTTTCGTTATCGGATCTTTTGTTATTCCATAAAATTTTGTTAATGTATCGTGCCTTTGAAATTCGTGATGTATTTTTATCTAAACAAACAAAAATTTTATTAACAGACTGAAATAAGTAAAATTAATTTAATGTTTTATATGTTTATTTACCTCATTAATAAGAATATCTGACATATTATTTGAATCGTTAATCTTTTTAAGTACAACCTTAGTAGGGCCAGAACGTTTTTTCTTGTATGAAACTTTTGGTGATCCGTCCAACCAAGTAGCAGAATAAATCCTTGCAAAACCACCTTCATCAATTTGTTTAATTTTATAGAATTTTTTATAAGGAATCCACTCCAAATTATGGTGGTAATGTTTTGCCATATGCTGTAAATCATTTATCAACTTGTCCATTGTTGGATTTCCACTTGTTTTTCCTTTTCTTAGAAATCGACCTGGATCACATTCACCGCACCAAGCAAATCCGGAATTTGGTCTTTTACAATTTGAGCATAATCCGTATAATTTAATTCTCTTAATATAAGGCATAACATTATTTTTAGGCTTTTTAAATTTTCTAGCCATATGAACGAAAAATTGGTAAAAAAAAATTTGTAAAATTTTTTTAAATTTTTTAGGAATTGGATGAACAAAATTATTTCCAAGATTTTTAATTTGTATAGCCATTGCATGAACGAAAAATGGATTCCTAGGTTTTTTAAAATGTTTAGGCATTAAATTATTTCTAAGTTTTTTAAATGGATTAACGAAATATTGGTGAAAAAAAGGTTGTAATTTTTTTTTAGCCGCCATTGGATGAACAAAACAATTTCTAGGTTTTTTAAATTGTTTAGGCATTGGATGAACAATATTATTTCTAGGTTTTTTAGCCATTGGATGAATGAAAAATTGGTGAAAAAAAATTTGAAATTTTTTTTATTTTCTCCTCCCAAGAACTGTTTTATTTAAATAAATTTGAAAATTTGCAATTTTAAATCAATTTTATATGCAATGTAATGTATATTGATCAGGTTATCAATCAGCCATAATGAATCAAATAATTTGAATCCAATCCAATACAAAATAAAAATCAAATGGTCTGTCGATTCAATACTATTTTTAATTTTCTCTGTAAATGAAATTAATATTATAATTTTCTTTTATATATACATATAACATATATTCTCATTATCGAAAAGTTACAATAATTGTTAATTACGAACGAAATACTAAAATCAATCACTCTATTACATGAATAATAGGGAAACGGACACCTTTAAAAAAGCCCCCAAATGATCGACAGTTTACACAGGATCACAGGACAGGATAGATACAATAATGTGATCATTGTGGTAGTACCGCAATTTGGATTGGATTCTTTTTTAAAAAGGATAGATTATTAAAAAAAAAAAAAAAAAAAAATGTTAGTGACAAGGGTTGTAGTTTTCGTGTATGATAGATATGAATTAGAAATATTTTTTAGAATTTAAATAATTTTACAAGAGACAAATTCTTTAATTCGAGACTCAAGCTAGCATATTTTTTTTTTTAAAAAAAAAAAAAAGTCCAAGAGTCTGCGTTTATATATTTATATGCATGCAAAGCTCACGTGAGGAACGGATTGGATTGCCGGATTTTCACAAACAAAAGTGGTTTTGGATTAGTTTTTTTTTTTTTTATCATTCTTTATTACTATTCTTAGGATTAGTTATTCTTATCAATTGGTTACAAACATTATAAACATTATAATACAAACATTTATAGATGTAAAACAAAGTATTTAGAAAATTAAATCAAGGAATATCATCATTAAAAGGTAAAACAATATGAGTGAGTGCTAAAAAAGGGACCAAATTGTAAAAAAAGTTACGTCTAATTCACTTAGGAATAAATTTTTGAAAAAAATTTCAATTTGGTCCCTTTTCGCAGCACTCACCCCATATGTTAAATGTAATAAATATTTTTATTTAAAATAATTTGTATACGTTATTTAATAAAATAAATAGCACTTATAAAGTAATTATTAAAAAAATAAAATATTAACAATAATTTTATTTTAAAATTATAATATAAATTTTATTTTATTATCGCACGGTCAATTGCAGAGTTTGTTTGACCAATATTTTTTTATATGTGCTAATATTATCCTATGGATAAATTGTCCTTAAAAAATAATAAGTGGTCTTTCGATCGATTATAAACGTATTTTCAATAGATTAGTTTGATTAGCCGCAGAAATTTTGCAACTTAATTATTTAATAAACTTGACTCCAGAAGTGACGTAGATTTTTATTAAATAAATTTGCATAATACACCTAATTGAAAACATTCTGCTTTGTTTATAAATATAAATGTAAAGAATTGGACGTAATAATAATAAGTTCAAAGATTTCATAAAAAAGAATAAAAGAATTGCATTAAAAGAAGTTCTTGTGAGTCGAACGATAATATAGATATTGAACGGTAATTATTTACGCTTGTTGTATCACACCCCGCTATTTAAAGTATTCCTAATCATCACAAAGCGTTTGACCTTTGGCCTTATAAAAGATAAATAAAAGAAACAATTATCCGGCATCATGTAATTTGGACCTTGTCCAATCCAATTCCAAATTTTATTGGACTATTGGACTTATATCTAGTTCCATTTAAAGTAGTGTTATATAATTATTTAAAGAAAGCTATAAAAATTACAAATAATAAGTTACAACCTTTATAATTAAACAATTACTTTAAGCTTATTTAATAAATTTTATAAAAAAAAACTTTATATTGCAAATTCAAATTTTTATTTTATTTTTTATTTTATTATTATTATTATTTTTATGATGTGGCACTGCCAGTAACTTTATTATTTTATAAAAGAGATACAAAAAGTAAAACTAAATACAAAGAAAAATGAAAAGTACTAGCTATCCCCCGTGATTATTTTACAAACCCGTTTGAATCGACCAATCATCATCTTTTCCCTCCAACAGACCCACTAAATGTATATCTAATGACTACTGTTATCACCAAGAAAAGAAAAAGAAAAGAGTCAATGCCTATCTAAAAATCTGAAAAAGAGTCACCATATTTATTTGCCATGTGAATCTATGTTTCTTGAGCACTAGGTACATGATCATCAGTTGAGTGAACAAGCGTTAAGACTGCATCTTTCTTGAATTTATCCTTTTTTGTGATTCCTAGAAATCGTTCTTTGTCGATCATAAGTTGACAGCGAGGTTTCTATATGTTGTCAAAGAGTTCCTTGAGAAGAAGGTGGAAAGTTGGGTGATAATCGAGAAGCACTTTGATTTGTTCTGAGTGATTGAGTGAATCAAATTGACTAATAAAGATGGTATGCGGAGTCGAATAATGTCGATGTAACTATCATTGCTAGAAGAAGGTAGAGCAAAGATGCGGTTAAAGAGATCCAGAAGTTCTGGAAGAGAAGAAGATTCAACGAAATTAGGATAATCATTGAGCAGAGTGACAATATGAGATTGGGTGAGTGAAATGATATTTGTCATTGTATTAGAGCGAACAGGACAAGTTCAAAGATGTGTAGGGGTTTCCGACATAATGTTGCATTCAAGGCAATTCCAATTTTTATAGAGATCAGACTGTAGCTGCTCCATTCTACTGAGGACAGGCAGTTCATCTCAGAGTTGGCAAAAGACCTTGAAATGACCTTGAAATGACCTCAAATGACCTCAAATGACCTTATTGTTATTATAAATTTCAAGTCAAAAGACCTTATAATTTGCCATCACTTGTTCATCCACAAAGTTCTTAATCATAAAAGTCTTAAGACGAGCATCAGCGAAAGATGTGATCAGGGATGAGGAGTCCAGAGTAAGGATGTTCCAGATAGTATGCCAATTAATATCATTTGAGCAAGTAAGAAATCTAAGATCCCTATTTCTGTGTAAAGAAAGAAAGTTGCTGAAGTGTTGAGCATTGAAGAGGTTTTTGAGAAACTTTTGGATTAATGATTCAATGGTGACAAGTTGGAAGCTTATAGCAAGGTTCCTAGATCCAATTTCAGTTAATTCAGGTTGAATAGGAGGAAGAGAACAATCATGTTTAGCGAGAGAATCGGCTATATCATTGAGGGTATTACCATCATAAGCTTTGACTTTGTGTAAAATGACTTCGAGAGCCATAGTTTCAATAATATATTGGATCAGGTTTCAAATAGTGTAATTAGGAATTTTCTCCAAAGAGCAATTAAAAAGATCGCAATTTGAAATTATGGAGTGGAAACCCTGTATCAAAACTTGGCTGTCAGTGTAGATGTGAATTTTTGATGATCAAGCAGAAACTATAAGAGCTGTCATGAAAGCGAATAACTCAGCCTGAGTAGAGAACAGCCAATTTTCTAGTGAAGCTGCAAATTGATGATACTTGGAGTAGGAATCTATACAAATCCACCCTATACCCATTTTACATGAGTCTAGACAGGAATCAATTAAAGAACCATTTGTATAAAATGTAAGTACTTTAGAGGCAGACAAAGCAGCTTAGAAAGAGAATAGATAAGGAAGGTGTGGGGAAGATGGAAGTAAGGTGTGAAGGATATCGATAGGGGTAGATTGAGTGAATAGTGGTGCAGATAAATTATAAAACATATTAAAAGCGATTTGCGAAAGTTTGATCAAGGAATATTTGAGTCTTCTTCCATTAATGTTAGGTGAGTTAGGTAACAAATCAACTTGAAGGACTCGATCAGATTGGATTCTGAAGGTACAACCATTAGATTGAACATGAGGGGAAAAGCTCACACATCCAGTGCATTTGGTAAGAGAATAATTATTGTCATTATTACTTATGGTATTGTAATGGTAGCAAATGAACCATCCAAAATATGAGAATTTGTCGAAGATGTGACCAAAAGAGATAGTGTTCAAAATCAGATTCTAGGAGGTAATGAACTCTTTTCTTTGATTAACGGGGATGGAGGTGATGGCTAAATGTTTATAAATAGGTAAAGGATAATCTAATCTAAATTCTAATTTAAGTAATCTATTATTAGTATTATCTATAACTAATGCTTCTAAGTCCATAAAAAATCTAGAGTTACTCATACGTGAAGTATGATGATCAAAATTCCTGAGGAACAAATCAGATTTTGTAATTAGAGAGTGACCAGTAGCATCGATAAGTTGATCTAAATAAATAAGATTATGTTGTCGAAGAAAGTTAGTATATTTAATCAGCAAATCAGTAGAGAGAATATTGGTAAGGGAAAATTGTCCTCCTTTAATTCGGTTAATTAACATAGGAGATGAGGTGAAGGACAGATGTGAAGATAAGGATTTTATAAGACTCAAGGAAGCACCAATAAGGTTATGATGAGAATGATGATTAAAGGGTTTAGACCAAGAGTTCAAGGGAGAGGTTGGTAGAGAAAATTTTGATTGTAATTGAAAGAGTCGAATAGTAGAGATATGCTCATAAAGCGAATTATTGTTAAATTGGTGAAGGAGAGCACTAGAAAGTGATTTAATTTGTAATGACCAAAAATCATTTAAATTATAAAATTTGTTAAAGTTGAGAAGAGCATTAGGGAGCGAGACAGTGAACTTATTCTTTTACTTAAAAAGGGAGCAAATTGGCGTAAAGATACGATCACAGTCAGCTTTTGACAAAGGTGTGAGTTGTATTCTATATTCTATAAGAGGACATAGAACATATTTATAATATAAGTAAATTGTTTGTCAGTGATAGGTTTATAGCACATGGAGTTGATAAATCATTGAATGTCTGAGGAAATTTGTTTTTTAACGAAGGTGACCAAGCGTTTGTGATTGATCCAAACACCAAGGAATCTGACTGACCCTTGTTCAGCGATCAAGTCGACATAGGATGAGCTAAATCTTAAATTAATATCAGGATTTGAGAAAATCTTTGTAGTTAAAAGTTTTGATTTTTGTTTGTTAAGAGCAGAACGTGTAATGTTGTAGAATTCCTCCGCTATATCTAACATAGATTCGAGATCTTGTTGATTTTCAGCAATCCAATTCGTATCATCCATAAAAGCTAACGATGAGATGTGAGTTGTTAGGTGATTGGAGAACAAGGTAGTAAGGTCTGAGATCCAACGATGCTTAATATTATATTCTTTGTTAAGACTGGCAACTTCACATAAGAGGGGGTCAAGACAGTGATGTATATTTCCTATATTCCAAGCATTTGCTATCCCAGCTATATGTCCCAACTATGTCCTATATATGTTCCAAATGTCCTATTTGTCCTATCAATATCACATCAGTGTCCCATCAGTATCCTAACTATGTCTCATGACAATACTGGGTCAAGATATATATACCATAAAAGCGGTGAAATGATTTCGCCCTGATCGATTCTGATTTTTACGTCATAGTAATCTGAAATACCATCAACTGTAAACACAGCATTTTTTCAGGCAGTAAAAAGATTGATTAAGAGATCTATTGCATGGTTAGGCACTTTAATACGATATAAAGCTTTACGGAAGAAAGTTAAATCAACACAGTCATAAGCCTTTGAGAGATTTTGGAGTAAAATCCAAATTTCCTTGTTATTTTTGTTAGCATCCTCGAGTAACATGTTAAGAATCTTAATAGGGATTTCCGTTGAGCCCCTGATAATCCAGCGAAATTGTCTTCTCGTAGGATGGAATGTTTAGCGATTATCTTTGATAAGCGATTGTTGAGAATTTTAACGAAATCTTTCTCACAGTTTCTAATAGCGTAATGCGTAATATCACAATCTCAGGCCGTAGGTTTAGGAATTGGAAAAAGGTGCATGATTTTCCATTCATTAGAGATATCTCCAATATTAAAGCATATACAAATGAGCTGCCAGAGAAGGTACTGAAGTTTGTCTCCGATGTGCGCTAACATTTCATTAGTAATTCCTGATGGGCCAGCTGCCTTATCATTAGGTAGGTGTCTTAAGATTGCAAGCTATTCATCCATCGAAACTGGTTGGAGTAGGTTGTCATAACAGCTACTATTGACATAATCCTTTGGAAGGTACTGATTGGTCTATCTGGAAGGTATGGCTTGAGACGGAGTATTTGGTAAAGTAAAATTTTGAAAGTGTTGGACAGTAGCTTCTTTAATTTCTTTAGAGTCAACGGTAAAACATTTGGTGCCAGTCATTGGGTCATTAATTAATAGGCGATCAAGAACAATTATGTTCTTCTTACGACTGAGGATGGAATCAATCATTGCTAATGTGTTGTTCAAAAGATCATCACATCATTTATCGATGAGTTGTTTGATAGCACTAGTTTTAAGCCTGTGAGTATCAATACGAGCTAAATTTGATAGCATCTTGTAGGCAGCCAATAGATCCTGTTTGGCCTCCAGTACTGATTGGCTGGTAAGGACAGCAGAAAAGAGATAGGCGCAAGTTTCATTTTTTCGAGAATGTTTTTCATTGAAGATATTACATTAGATCATGTTGAGTCTCGAGACCATTTACCATCTTGAATCAATTTTGTTTTGAAGAGCAGCAAGAAGGAGCAGACCTTTTTTGCAGCAATATAAGAGTCCAGTGAATCATATAGTTGCTTGTGATCATTACTACTCGAGATCTAAACTTGCGGGATAATGTGTTTATTCGCAGCACCTATGGCAGTTTGGATATTTATTCATAAAGAATTCATATTAGAATGAGTAGGCGGAAGGTCTTTGAGTTGGTCGAAGTTATGGCAGTTGTAATGAAAATTAGTGTATTCTGCAAAATCTGACCATTTAGTTGGATTCATCAATCGTAAATTTGGTACTTGGTATTTGTTTTGGAGAAGACGAGACTTAGCTTGCGAGCACCGCTGTATATCTGCAAAAAAGGCAAAAATGATTTTGTGGTCTGAAGAGTAAAGGTCAGATTGATCAATAGATGAAAAGAGAAAGTCTGAGATAAGATTAGGTGAGGCGAAAATAGTATTGATTCGTGAACTTCTATTACTAGCGCAGAAAGTGAGTTCAGGTGTATCATGACAAAGGTAGTATAAGTCTAAGAAATTAAACGCAAAAATTTAATCATAAAAATCGAACTTCTAATGTAATGGGATACTATGGTTAAATTGAGACCAATAATGATTAAGATTCACATTGAAGTCACCTAGGAGAACTATTTTGAAATCAGACTTAAGGCTATCTTTAATATGTTTAATGATCATTTTGTGAAGGTTAAGACACTCTTTTTTGGTACCAGATGTTAATGAGACATGTAAATAGATGCAGAAGATTTTAAGTTTGATATGACCAGCAAAATATAATTCAATATAAATAAAGCGATTGTCATCCAAAAATGTACGCTGAATATAAATGGCCCAGAAATGTTTAACTAAGATGCTGACTCCTATGTGAATGTTAATTCAGGAGTTCTAAAAAGCACAAAAATGTGAATAATCTGAGTATCAAAAACATTGGTCAGATTTGTGATGAGTTTCGGTAAGACCTACGAAGTCAGTATTAAATCTATAAAAGTATCGTTAATTGAAGAATTTTTAATTTCATATTGTAGAGAATTAACGTTGTGAGTTGCAAATGAAAGACTGGAAGTTTCTTTTGAAATGTTAGAATTAATATGTTGGGGTGACTTATTGTTATTAATGTTATGATTAGGTTTTAATATCATAAGAATTGTTGTAGAGAGGGAGACAATTATTGTTTAGCCAACTTAGCAGTCAAGGATTCAAATTGCGTCATCATAATATTAAGTTATTCTTGTTGGAAAGCAATGATACCATTTTGTTCTTGAATGGTGGATTGTAACTGAATATTAATGGGGTGAGAGACATGAGCATCGCTATCATTTGATGATGTATTAGCAATTCTGGAACGCTTGTTAATATGAGAGACAGAGTTGTTATAATTAGGTGTCTAAGTATCAGGAATTTGAGGGGTGACTGGAGGTGGTTGATGAGAAGTGTGACTTAATTGGTTTTTTTTCTAATTTGAGATTTCAGGCTTCTAGATCAGACATGACTTTTTTCATACCAGAAAGCATATCCAAAATTTGGTCCAATTTTTTATTAGTGTCGTTGTTGGAATGGGGATTATGGATTAAATTATTTAATGAATTATTCTTGGGGCCAGTATTTTTTCCTTTGCCTTTATTATTATTCAAGGCCTTAGAGTAATTCATATTGTTACGATCATTTGAAGGTTGATCATTTCTGTTATTATTGTTCTTAATAATTAAGTTATGAGAACCTGCAGGTTTGTAATGATTATATAATTTTTGGATGGAAGGGAGATGGAAACGAGAACGCTTATTATCATCAGAATCATTCTTTGCTTGAAATGTGATCTGAGGACATTTCATAATAATATGCTCAGTAGAGCTATACTTGTGATAGCATTTGAGATCTGCTGCGTACTATTATAACTCTTGGTCACTGAAGGCATAGTTGATTTTAATAGCGTCATTGAGTGCTTCTTCTGAATCAAAATATAGAATGGCAAAGGGTTTTGGTTTGTAATTGGTGGATCTCAGAATATAGCAACTTTTTGCTTTAGTGGCGATAATACCATCTTGTAGATCATGTGCTGTTGTTCTAAAGGGAAGATTGGTCAGTTTGAAGTGAATGTCATTTCTGTTCAGGGGTGAGATCAGCCGGATAAACTCTTATACAGTCATTGTATAGATAATGTGACTATTGGGTGTAAAACAATTGAATGGCGTTAGGATCTTTATAAGTAATATAAGCATGTTGCTACATGCCTTGTGTTTGCATTTTAACATTTGTGTTTTTTTTATATTTGGTAAAAACAGAGGTGAGGGAGTCCTGTTTCATATTGTGATGAATATCCGTAATATGACATTGCTGAAACTGCATGTTATTCTTATATTCTTTATAACTGATAAGTTGGTTAATTCCCAAATCGGGAAATTTCATTGAGGATTCAGAGATCATCAACTCCTGATCTGCAAAGTAGATCACTACAGAACGAATGAAATTAACACGATGAACGTTAATGCCTTTGAACATATCTTTGTAGGCAAAATGATTGTTGATGGTCTTAATAATAAGCTGGGTAGTAAGTTCTCTTGCCGTTTTGTTGATAGTAGAAGCACAAGCGAAGGCAGTTGGTCTTAGAATAGTGATAAAGTCACGACTGACTGTTTCCATATCTTCATCATCTTCGATAGCAACATATTCATCCTTGTCTAAAACGTTGGAAGGTGGAGTGGGTTTTGGTCCAAAGGTATTAGCAACAATTTCTTTGTCAGAGAGGGAACTGGGATTAGAAACAGTTTTAGACAAAGAGGCGACAGTTTCTGATTACTTTTTTTGGGTCAAAGCGAAAAGTGTCTTTTGGACTGGTATTGCGTCTGCTATTTTTACACATTTTATTTGAAATTTTTAGTAAAAACTCTTTTGAAAAAATTGTTTGTAATGTAGGAACAATAAACTAACTGAACAGAGTTGAAAAATATTAAGTGTTTAAAGCGAAATATTTTTATTTTCTAAAAAATTTTTGTTTCCAAAAATTTTGGGAGAAGAGAGAAAGAGTTTTTTCATAAAAAAAACCCTTACTATACTGAATTTAGTAATTAAAAATTCGTACTACATTTAACGAATTAAAGTCAGAAAAATTTA